CACACACACGGGTCACATGATCAGTGTTCACGACTCACTGCTCATCACACTCTCTGTGTGTCTCAGTGTAACAGGAAGGAGGACTACATCGACCGGATCCAGACGCTGGACTTTGACACGCGGGCAGCCATCGCCGCTCACATTCAGGAGGTGTGTGTCACATGACGTCACGAGCCGAGCTCACTGCGCAGCTGACCTCTGACCCTCTGTGTGTGTGTGTGTGTGTGTGTGTGTGTGTGTGTGTGTGTGTGTGTGCAGGTGACCCATAACCAAGACAACGTGTTTGACCTTCAGTGTGTGGAGGAGAGTGAGTCCGTCCTGCAAGATAAAGATGCCGTCTTCAGACAGCTGATCTTTAACCTCAAGCGCCTCGTAGACGAGAGAGACCAACACGCTGAGGTAACTCGCGCGCGCACACACTCACTCACTCACTCACTCACTCACTCACTCACTCACTCACTCACTCACTCACTCACTCACACACACTCACTCACTCACTCACTCACACACACACACACGTGTAGTTAATGCATGCCCATGTGACTCGCTCACTGACCACAGGCTTTTATCTAACATATAATATACATACAATATCCATTACTCGATTTTGACCGATTCTCATTCTGATGAACCGATATTGATTCTTATTACGTGGCTCTGTGGAATACTTGATTCTGATTGGTCAGTCGCTACATTCCGAGGTGTGTTATCCCGCGATAATAACGGGTGAAAGCTGATAACACAGACTCATCCGGGTAACTGAAGTCGGCGCTATACGCTTGCTAGGAACTGTTTCTCTGCATGGAAGCTTTGCGTTTGGTTAACTAATAAAATATTGTTGTGTAATAAGTGGTGTGACAGCACTGTAGCTCTTAAATGTCCGTCTAGTTTGAACTTGCCGCTTGTTCGCTTGCTGTGTTCACAGAAGCTTTGCGTTCAAATATTTCCACTCAAATCAATATTTCGTGTCTAATTATGTACTTATGAGGCATGTAGAACCAGTTGTTATCGCAGAATAACCCTCTTCAGGGTCTCACAAGACCCCCCCGCTTCACGTCGATCACTAGGGCTGCACGATTTGGGGAAAAAACATAATTGCGATTTTTCTGGTTAAAATTGCGATTTAAATGCAATTTTTAAAACAAATTAACAAAAAAATAACAATAAAATAATTAGATAAATTAATACGATAATAACAATACTAATTTTATTTTACAGTAAACTATTGTTTTACAGAAAACTGCAGGGTTACCTGTTAACATACAGGCTTATAACTGTACATCACATGATACTGTTATGACAGAAGTATTTGACAGTAGTTTCTTAATTTTTATCCGGACGCATGTAAAATCAAAAACGGAGTCCATGTCTTTAATATGAAATATGAGCCTTTTATACATCAACTGTGGGGAAAGAAAAAAAAGTCCTGTACAATTCTATACACTGAAGAAAAACATGGATTATCATATGTTTACTTCAAATTTCTTCAGAGAGAAGTATTTATGGCCAAACTAGGACTGAGTGCATTGCTGAGTGCTAAACACATGTAATGTTTGTTTCATTCATACTGGACGCCAGAGGGCGCCCTCACGCAGAAACTCCACAAATACCTCACAGCAGTAATAGAACTCAAGACGCTCCAGGAAATCCCTGATATCAGGCTATCGCTGTGACTGAATAAAAAGAAGATAGAAACGTATGAACTGATGAAACATGAAGACAATAAACCTACGACAATATATGGTTTAACGGTGTTCTTCACAGCGTCTCAAGTATTTTCATAATAATAAAGTCAATATATAATGCAATGCTAATCGACAAAGCCTTTATTACAGTATAGAATATATTTCCTGCCTCGTTCTGTGACAAGAAGCCACATCAGATCAGAAAATGAAGTTATTTCAAACTCTCGACTGATGTTTTGGAGTAAAATCATGTTATAATGTTGTCATCAACAGGTTTATAAATGTTTGAGAGGATGTGTGGAGAGTGTGGTTCTTAATCAGATGCACGTTATAAGCGACTCAAACTCATGAGCATGAGCAGCATATATTTTTATTTCATTCAAAATCGCAGCCTTTGTGATTCATGCATCAAGCCAGCTCGTGATTCCGGTTGGATTTCGATTAATCGTGCAGCCCTGATGATCACCCTGTCGGGGGTTATTCTGCGATTACATTATCCCTTACTTAAATCCCAAGAATCAGTCTTTTAGTGCTGTTTTGAGTTGATGCCTGAGCAAAACCTCTCTAAACATTATTTGTAGGGCGCCTGCAAACCAATAATCACAATAATCTTTGTGCTTTGTAATTTTTGTTATGAAATCAAGTCTCAGCCTTCAAATTCTGTACATTTAATGACAAAATTCAAACAATAAATGTGGTTTTGACGCTCTTTAATGTGGCTTGACCGATCGATTTAGTTGAGATTCTTTTTGCTTTGAGAAAAATGTATATACTGTATCTGATATATAACCAAATCAATTGATATTGACTCAAATCAAATCAAGATTGGAAGCAAATTAAATTGAATTTGTGTCAGTGTTACAGGATGATACCTATTTGCACCCGCTTCACAGCGAGCGGGACTCGTGTTTTGATTTCTGCAAATCAGTTTGGTTGAATGTAGAGATGTGATTGATCGTAAGCACAACATCCAGCTAGAAAACATACTATCTACATTTTACTATTTGCAATAGTTGGACCGAGACTATGGAATAACCTTCCTTTATCTGTGATACACACACACACACACACACACTCGCACGCACACACTCACACACACACACACACACACACTTGCACGCATGCACACACACACACTTGCACGCATGCACACACACACACACACACACTCACACACACACACACACACTTGCACGCATGCACACACTCACATGTGTGTGTGTGTGTGTGTGTTGTGGCATCAGATGATGGTGTCTCTGACTCTGGAGAGGGACAGTGGGCTCAGCTCTCTGCACTCCGCTCCGTCACCCGGTGAGTCGAGCATGAGACGCACGGAGAGTGTGCAGCATCTGTCGGTGGAGCTGGCCGATGCTAAAGCCAGGATCAGACGCCTGCGGCAGGAGCTGTGAGTACCTGTCATCAGTTATTCAGCTTCCCCTCTGTGTGGAGACAATAGAGAGCCGTTAGAGGAAGTGCTGGAGAGCAGGGAAGCTGTTTACTGGAATCATCTGAGCACTCGTCTAATGCAGCGTGATTGAGTTCAGACGCTCGTCTGCTCTGCTGAAGCTCTTCATGTGCGGCTAGCAGCTCTATTCCCCTGAACACAGTGTGAAGCACGTCTTTCTGTTTGCTGATGTTCTCTCAGACCAACATTTACTCCAGACTCCTGGAGAGCCGTAACAGTGGCGCTTTATGACTGTACATGACGTGGAACGTTATCTTAAACCCTAACCCTAACGCTGCTTTGACAGGCTGCTAACTCTTTAACTCAAGCCCTGTTGAATCATTTACATTGACAGCATTGAACGACTGTCCGAGGTGAGTCCAGTCGAATCCAGCAGAGTTTCCACCTGCAGTGAATTGAACATATAAAGTGATTTTCATTGTTGGAGACAGTTGAGAACAACACTCTGGCGAGATAGTTGCTCTTCAGTTAAAATCATTTCTGTCATTTATGTAAAAAATGTTGGGCAGGTGAAAAGCCTGTATTTTCTAATGCAGAGATTACAAGAAGGTTAATTCATGTCTCAAGTCATTTGTAAGTGGATGAGAGAGATTTTCTACAAGCATTAAAACACATGGCTTTATGAGAAGAGCTTGCACACAGCGTCCCGTTCAGGCTGGTTCTTACATCTAGAATGAGGCCACGGCTCTTTGCCTGGCTTCTGTTCTTGCTCTTTCACTGCAAAAAACTGTAAAAGAGGACAGTCTATTTTAGTCTGTGTGCCATAAAAGAGTCACACAGCTCCACTTTCTGTTCCCCACTGATCACAGCGCTGGCTCATTCTGTTGCTGTGCAGTTGATCAACCGTGGCCACAGCTCTCCAGTGGTTCATGAGTAGATGTTTTCTGGTGCAGTGTCTTACAGTTTCAGGTGAATGAAGGCCATTATCAGAGGCTGCAGCCCCACTAACGCTGCTGTAACGCTCGTGTTTCAGAGAGGAGAAGACCGAGCATCTGCTGGACTGCAGACAGGAGCTGGAGCACGTGGAGACTGAGGTCAAGAGACTGCAGCAGGAAGTGAGGCGTCTTTCTATCATCCCCAGGACTGCAAAACACTCCGCTTAGCTTCATCTCTGGCATCTGTGTTGCGAGTTCTAGTGTGTAACAAACAGCTTACACACCAGAGCTTCACTTAGACGGTCATCACACGTGTGTTGACAGACGCCGACTATCAAATAGTGATAAATATACCCTCAGCCTCTTAAAGCGATACTTCACCCCTAAATCACTGTTCTGTCATCATTTATGATCATTTTGTGGAATATTTTGAAGAGGCTTTGTGCTGCTTTTTTCCGTACAATGGAAGCGTACAGCATGACACTGCAAGTCACAGCATTTAGTTCACCATTAATTCTGCACCGTACCGTAGATATCTGTGGTTCTTAAAACCAGATGCTGCACAATGTTGTGTTTTTTTCATGAATTCATTGGTTTTTACTGTGACTGATGAGCAGCATCTGAAATGTTGAGCAGTTGTCATACCTATCTCTTCTGAAAGCAGGTTTGTGTGTATATAGAGGTGGTTGTAAAAGGTGGTATTGTGTGTCAGAACCTGCAGCTGCTGTGTGACGCGCGCTCGCTGCGGGCGTACCGAGACGAGCTGGACGCTCTCAGAGAGAAGGCCATCAGGGTGGACAAGCTGGAGAGTGAAGTGACACGCTACAAAGAGAAGCTCCACGACATCGAGTTCTACAGGACCAGAGTGGAGGTGCGTGACCGAGTGTGTTCATCAGGGAGCGCTGGGTCTGCTGGAGCTCACTGATCACATGTGTTCATGTAGGAACTGAGGGAGGACAATCAGGTTCTGCTGGAGACCAAGAGCATGCTGGAGGACCAGCTGGAGTCTTTCAGAGCTCGGTCTGATAAACACCATGAGCTGGAGAAGGAAAACCTGCAGCTTCAAAACAAGATCCATGACCTGGAGATGGTGAGAGAGCACAGAACGATCACATCTATAGTCCATCAATACAGCAGCTCCTTAGTGTCCTCTCTCTGAGCATAAAAAGCCAACATTATAAAACTCAATCATGATAGTGACTGCATGGACTCATTCCCGCCGTACTGTTGCTGTGTTTCAGGAGCGAGACATGGACCGAAAGCGCTTGGAGGAGCTGCTGGAGGAGAACCTGATGCTAGAGATGGCCCAGAAACAGAGCATGGACGAGTCTCTGCATCTGGGCTGGGAACTGGAGCAGCTCTCCAAGACCACTCCCGAGCTCACTGAAGGTACGAGACATGTGTGTGTATGTGGAGCACGTTTCAGGATAGATCCCAGATTATGATGGTTTGCCAAGATGGTGAAGTGACCCAAATACAGGATGTTTTCTAAATGAGAGGCTGGTGTCCGTGGGCTGTGAGCGTGACTCTGTGGGCTGTTGTGAGTGCAGTGCCGCAGAAGTCTCTGGGTCACGAGGTGAACGAGCTGGCGTCCAGTCAGCTGCTGAAGCTGGAGAAGGAGAATCAGATGCTGCTGAAGAGCATGGAGGAGCTGGAGAAACACAACCAGAAACTCAGCCAGCAGGTCAGAGTCCAGACGCTTCTCAGCACAGTCCTCAGGAATAACTCGTCAGATATTTCTGAATGCATAGTGTTAGTTCTTGAGACTTGAATTCATAAGTCATGATGAAAAGTGTCTCTATATTAAAAATAAGAGAGATTACATTCTGACGAAGGATTATGAAACCAAACATCTTTAGAGTAATGTGCGCTGATGAATCCTTCAGTGAGACCAGGAATAGAAGTGAGGAAGTACATTTTGATGTGGCTTCAAATAGTGTAACTAAGCTGTGAATAAATTCTGTTCCTCACACAAAGAAAGGAGAACTGTTTGAAGAGAATGGGCTAAAATGTTGTGTGGTGTTTACGGGAACTGAGCTCTCAGAGCAGGATCATATTCATCAGCGAGTAATCTGAGTTTAAATCTGGTTTGGGTTGAGTTAAGCTGCTTCCGGAGCATTAGCCGCTCATACGAGTTTGATTGCTCATTATGAGCGTGTGTGTGTCCATATGTCAGCTCTGTGAGGATGTGATGAGTGTATGAAGCGCTGTGTGTTTGTGCAGCTGGAGCAGCTGCAGGTGGAGCTGGCTGCAGACAGAGAGAGTCTGCGCAGCACTGAGAGTCTGAGCACAGACCTGCTGAAGGAGAAGGCACGGCTGAAGAAAACCCTGGAGACGCTCCAGCAGAACTCCGACAGACAGGTACACCGCACTCACACACACAACCCTGCATCTCATTCATCTTACACTGCTGAATCATTGGGAATTGACATAATAATTCATTTTATTCTGCCTCGAGCTTTCCATGTCCTCCAGACAAATTTATTTAAATAACTGTCATGTGTCTGATGCCCTAACAGTCAAGTGGGAGAAGTCATAATCTTTTCCTCGTGACAGAATGAAGGTTTAGCATGGTAATGACATGACAAGGTAATGAATTTGGTCTTAGAGGACTAGATCTGCTGAGCAAGTACACTGACATGTGAAACATGCATAAATGCCTACACAAAACATGAGCCCCCAACAATGTCGATCTACCACCAAGAGCTGCTAACCGCAGGTTAGGCTTAGGTGTAACACTAGCCCACTGACTTGCTAGGTGTACCTGGAGCTTATTTAACTGGTCACCTGTGTGCACCTGGACCGGGATACCCTTAGGTTTATTTAACTAATGGCCTAAGTGTGTCTGAGCTGTTTTGTTGAAGGCTCACCCCTTTAGAAACGCTCTGCTGTGTGTCGTTAGGAGATTAGTGCATGCTTACAGCAGCACTGAAGCTAGGCTGCATGAGAGCTCATTGGCTGACAGATTACCAGTAGAGGACCTATTGGTTCATGCTGGCGGATTTACACTAGTTTATTTTTTACTTATCTGATTACTCCATAGTTTCATCACTAAACTTCAAGGCATTAGTGCACTGGAAAATTAAGCCATGTTTACCTTTACTGTTTGTTTGTTTGTTTTTTATTTTATTTAAAAGGGACAATACACATTAATTAACATGAGTAAACAAGTCTACTATGTAAATGTGCCAGATTTAGTCATTCAGGCTAATTTTCATCTGCAGTCCCTGGCAGGGTGATGGTAAGAACCATAATTCACAAATACACAAAGCAGAGACAAACATATTACAAAAACCAGAATACAATATAAAAAAATAAAAAAAAAAGGAAAAAAGAAACACTACTTCAAATTATGAAGACATATTTGATTATCCAATAACCACCCTTTTACCGATTCAGAAAAGGAGCAAGAGATGTAATATTTCTTAATTCTATGGGTATAGTATTCCAAGCATGTACTGCTCTATAAGAAAATACTGATTGCCCAAAAGTAGTACTTCTATATGGTATTATACAGTCCCCTCTAGTAGTGGCTCTAGTAAAAGAATTCAAATTTTTCCTGATAAATTTATTAAGTGGGAGCGGAGCCAAACCATGCAAAATTTTGAACACAAGTAAAATATCTGCAAATTTAATCATATTTCCCCAACTTAAAAACCCATATTTAGTTAAAATTTCACAATGCCAGCTATTCGATCTCGTCTATACATTTGATAACCACACACATTTAACATATCAGCAGGGGAATCTTCATGCAACCATGTTTCTGATAAACATAAAAAATCCAAATTTGATTCATATAAAAGATGGTGTATTTGATCATTTTTGGGAATAACACTTCGAATGTTTAAATGTCCACCTAGTATTCCACTTGGTTTCGATCGACAATCCCAAAGAATACGAGCATGATTTACTGTTCTAAAAAGCTTAAAACAACGATGCTTTATAATTGCCGGATTTATCTTGCGCATTGATTTATTCAGTAATATTGATGTAGTCCTTTGCACATGGTTTGATATAGCCGATGGAACATCGCCTGATGGAACGCCAGCCTGAAATGTAGTCACCGGTGTTAAACCAACGAAAGACTCACCCACTTGACCAACATCCACAGTAGGCGAATCACCGTCAATAGAGAATCTATATCCCAAGGTAATATCCTCCAAAGTCGAACGCTGATACACACTCCCAGCAATTGTAGTTTGATGGTGCCAATCTTGGCCCATCTCGTCCGCACGTGGGCCCGGATTCAGGTGCACATCCCCCGCAAGCAACAGCGTAAAAAGTAGGTATCCAGAAAATTTCCTCTACAATTTTGATGGTTTACACTTTATCACATTATTTTTCGATGTAACAGTTGGAATGATCGCCTTCCCATAATTAAGAATACTGCGATAGGATGCAAATTGTCCAACAGGCAAAGATGTACCGATATATCCAAGGTACGAAGGAAGCACCAAGTGATTTGAACAGGTGATCACATTTTCTGTATACTGAGCTTGATTCATTTCCATACACAGTCGTACCGAATTGACTACAAGTGCCACAACATAGAACATAGTCCATAAAATAATCTTACTTCGAAAAAAGTGGCTATGAACAAAGAAATTTTTAGGAAAATGTTGGCTTGATAGCAGCGAGCCAGCACCTGCCCGACCTCTCACTACTGCCGACGCTAATCTACTGTATTTGGCGCAGTTGTTTTCAGACATACAGGGACAGTGCATGATATTAATCATCTCTATAAATGTGCCAGTTTAGCTAATACAGCTCATTTTCAACATTAGCCCCTGGTCTAATATTAAAAAAATAAATAAAACAAGGCTGCACACTAAGTCGAATAGGCTATAAGGTAACATTTTAACACACTTTAAAACTTTCCTTGTAACAGTTTTCTACAGAAAAAAAACAACAGTTTTGAGTACCTTCAGGCATGCTGCTGATGATACATGTCAAGTTTCGTAGTGATAATTAATGTGTCCATAAAATACAGTGTTTTATGACAAAATGCACAGAGGCCTAGATGGATAAATTAGGTATCGATCAACTCGACATGCTACTGAATCCAACAAGACAAAGATTAGAACCCTGCTTGAGTACCTTCAGGTCATCGCTGACACGCACCAGGTTTGGTCTAAATGCACATAAGATATAGCCCCACGTCCACATCCATTCACAAGTTATTCAAGAACAGTTTGACAAATCAACTTGAACTCCATAACTACAAGATGAACATGATCTAATTGTTTTTACCTGAGAATCAGTTGAATGGTCTAGGATTTCAGAAATCTTTTTTGGTTTTTGTGATGGCTTTAAACGGTCCTGTGCACGTTGTTCAACGATCTCTCTTACCTGGCACACTGTGTCTGGTTGTGACGCAGGTCAAGGGTCTGGAACAGGAGAACGATCATCTGAACCAGACCATCACCTCTCTCAGACAGCGCTCTCAGGTCAGTGCTGAGGCCCGCGTCAAAGACATCGAGAAAGAAAACCGCGTGCTGCACGAGTCCATCAAAGAGACCAGCAGCAAGCTCAACAAGGTGGAGTTTGAGCGCAAACAGCTTCGCAAAGACCTGGAGCACTACAGAGAGAAAGGAGAAAGAGCCGAGGAGCTGGAGATGGAGGTCCATCGACTGGAGCGAGAGAAGGAGAGTCTGCAGAAGCGTCTCGCTGCTCTCGCCATCACCTGCGGGAAGGTGGAGGTGCTGGAGAAGGAGAATGCTGAGCTGGAAGCGGAGAGCAGGAAGCTGAAGAAAGCAGCAGACGGTCTGAGGAATGTTTCCTATCAGCTGGAGGTCCTGGAGAAGGAGAACGCTCAGCTGGACGAAGAAAACCTGGAGCTCCGGCGCATGGTGGAGTCTTTACGGTCCTGCGGAGCCAAGGCTGCCCAGCTGGAGCTGGAGAACAAAGAGCTGGAGAACGAGAGAACCCAACTCAAAAAGAGTCTCGAGCTGCTGAAGGCTTCGTCCAAAAAAAACGAGCGTCTGGAAGTCAGTTACCAAAGCCTCGACGCAGAGAACCAGAGGCTCCAGAAAGCCCTGGAGTCTGGCAGCCGCAAGATTCAGCAGCTGGAGGGAGAGCTGCAGGACACGGAGGTGGAGAACCAGAGCCTGCAGCAGAGTCTGGAGGAGCTGAAGATCTCCAGCAAAGGCCTGGAGCAGCTGGCGCAGGAGAACACAGCCCTGGAGCAGGAGAACAGTCAGCTGGAGAAGGACAAGAAGCAGCTGGAGAAGGAGAACAAACGGCTGCGACAGCAGGCTGAAATCAAAGACTCCAGACTCGATGAAGACAACCTGCGCATCTCTCATCTCGAGAAGGAGAACCGCACGCTGGGCAAGGAGGTCGCCGCTCTCAAAGACATGTGTGGTCGCGTGAAAGACTTGGAGAAGGACAATAAGGAACTGGTCAAACAAGCAACCATAGACAAGAAGACCCTGGTCACTCTGAGAGAGGTAACCAAGCAAACACGGTTAGCTGGTGCATGCTTGACTGTGGACTGCTTGCATGACTCTTACTGTGATGTTTCCTGATGCAGGAGCTTGTCAATGAAAAATTAAAGACCCAGCAGATTAACAATGACCTGGAGAAGCTGACCCATGAGCTTGAGAAGATCGGCCTCAATAAAGAGGGGCTTCTGGGTGGTGAAGAGAGCTCTGATGACAGGTAATTCACACATGGAATGATCACTTTAGGGCTAGGACTGCAATGAATTTACATGAATACTGGAGTCACGATTGTCACCTGTATAACGCTGTGTTTCTTGTTTGTCAGGTTTAAGCTTCTAGAGTGTAAACTGGAGTCCACTCTGAAGTCCTCTCTGGAGATCAAAGCGGAGAAGATCGCTGCTCTAGAAGCCCGACTGCAGGAGTCCTCCAACCTCAACCAGCAGCTACGACAGGAGCTCAAAACGGTTGGGCGTCAGGCTTTGTTTGGCTGGTTGGCAGTGACTTCAGATTGTGTTCATTAAGCCTTGTTTTGTCCACCCACAGGTGAAGAAGAACTACGAGGCCCTGCGCCAGCGTCAGGAGGAGGAGTGTTCGGCTCAGAGCTCGCCTGCTCGAGGACGGGAGGACACACAGAGCAAGTGGGAGAAGCAGAGTCAGGAGGCCACGCGAGAGCTTCTGAAGGTCAAAGACCGACTCATAGAGGTGGAGAGAAACGTGAGTACCAGCTCAGCGCTATCAGAATGTCTTTACGTTAGCACAGCAGCTGATGTTGCTGATGTTTGTCCAGAACGCCACTCTCCACGCAGAGAAGCAGGCTCTCCGGACGCAGCTGAAGCAGCTGGAGTCTCAGAGCGGGAATCTCCAGGCGCAGATATTAGCTCTTCAGAGACAGGCCGCGTCTCAACAGGAGAACAACACCACACTACAAACACAGAACGCCAAACTACAGGTCAGAGTCGCTCTCCTCACACAGATTTATCTTGCGCATTGATTTATTCAGTAATATTGATGTAGTCCTTTGCACATGGTTTGATATAGCCGATGGAACATCGCCTGATGGAACGCCAGCCTGAAATGTAGTCACCGGTGTTAAACCAACGAAAGACTCACCCACTTGACCAACATCCACAGTAGGCGAATCACCGTCAATAGAGAATCTATATCCCAAGGTAATATCCTCCAAAGTCGAACGCTGATACACACTCCCAGCAATTGTAGTTTGATGGTGCCAATCTTGGCCCATCTCGTCCGCACGTGGGCCCGGATTCAGGTGCACATCCCCCGCAAGCAACAGCGTAAAAAGTAGGTATCCAGAAAATTTCCTCTACAATTTTGATGGTTTACACTTTATCACATTATTTTTCGATGTAACAGTTGGAATGATCGCCTTCCCATAATTAAGAATACTGCGATAGGATGCAAATTGTCCAACAGGCAAAGATGTACCGATATATCCAAGGTACGAAGGAAGCACCAAGTGATTTGAACAGGTGATCACATTTTCTGTATACTGAGCTTGATTCATTTCCATACACAGTCGTACCGAATTGACTACAAGTGCCACAACATAGAACATAGTCCATAAAATAATCTTACTTCGAAAAAAGTGGCTATGAACAAAGAAATTTTTAGGAAAATGTTGGCTTGATAGCAGCGAGCCAGCACCTGCCCGACCTCTCACTACTGCCGACGCTAATCTACTGTATTTGGCGCAGTTGTTTTCAGACATACAGGGACAGTGCATGATATTAATCATCTCTATAAATGTGCCAGTTTAGCTAATACAGCTCATTTTCAACATTAGCCCCTGGTCTAATATTAAAAAAATAAATAAAACAAGGCTGCACACTAAGTCGAATAGGCTATAAGGTAACATTTTAACACACTTTAAAACTTTCCTTGTAACAGTTTTCTACAGAAAAAAAACAACAGTTTTGAGTACCTTCAGGCATGCTGCTGATGATACATGTCAAGTTTCGTAGTGATAATTAATGTGTCCATAAAATACAGTGTTTTATGACAAAATGCACAGAGGCCTAGATGGATAAATTAGGTATCGATCAACTCGACATGCTACTGAATCCAACAAGACAAAGATTAGAACCCTGCTTGAGTACCTTCAGGTCATGGCTGACACGCACCAGGTTTGGTCTAAATGCACATAAGATATAGCCCCACGTCCACATCCATTCACAAGTTATTCAAGAACAGTTTGACAAATCAACTTGAACTCCATAACTACAAGATGAACATGATCTAATTGTTTTTACCTGAGAATCAGTTGAATGGTCTAGGATTTCAGAAATCTTTTTTGGTTTTTGTGATGGCTTTAAACGGTCCTGTGCACGTTGTTCAACGATCTCTCTTACCTGGCACACTGTGTCTGGTTGTGACGCAGGTCAATGGTCTGGAACAGGAGAACGATCATCTGAACCAGACCATCACCTCTCTCAGACAGCGCTCTCAGGTCAGTGCTGAGGCCCGCGTCAAAGACATCGAGAAAGAAAACCGCGTGCTGCACGAGTCCATCAAAGAGACCAGCAGCAAGCTCAACAAGGTGGAGTTTGAGCGCAAACAGCTTCGCAAAGACCTAGTGCACTACAAAGAGAAAGGAGAAAGAGCCGAGGAGCTGGAGATGGAGGTCCATCGACTGGAGCGAGAGAAGGAGAGTCTGCAGAAGCGTCTTGCTGCTCTCACCATCACCTGCGGGAAGGTGGAGGTGCTGGAGAAGGAGAATGCCGAGCTGGAAGCAGAGAGCAGGAAGCTGAAGAAAGCAGCGGACGGTCTGAGGAATGTTTCCTATCAGCTGGAGGTCCTGGAGAAGGAGAACGCTCAGCTGGACGAAGAAAACCTGGAGCTCCGGCGCATGGTGGAGTCTTTACGGTCCTGCGGAGCCAAGGCTGCCCAGCTGGAGCTGGAGAACAAAGAGCTGGAGAACGAGAGAACCCAACTCAAAAAGAGTCTCGAGCTGCTGAAGGCTTCGTCCAAAAAAAACGAGCGTCTGGAAGTCAGTTACCAAAGCCTCGACGCAGAGAACCAGCGGCTCCAGAAAGCCCTGGAGACCGGCAGCCGCAAGATTCAGCAGCTGGAGGGCGAGCTGCAGGACACTGAGGTGGAGAACCAGAGCCTGCAGCAGAGTCTGGAGGAGCTGAAGATCTCCAGCAAAGGCCTGGAGCAGCTGGCGCAGGAGAACACAGCCCTGGAGCAGGAGAACAGTCAGCTGGAGAAGGACAAGAAGCAGCTGGAGAAGGAGAATAAACGGCTGCGACAGCAGGCTGAAATCAAAGACTCCAGACTCGATGAAGACAACCTGCGCATCTCTTATCTCGAGAAGGAGAACCGCACGCTGGGCAAGGAGGTCGCCACTCTCAAAGACACTTGTGGTCATGTGAAAGACTTGGAGAAGGAAAATAAGGAACTGGTCAAACAAGCAACCATAGACAAGAAGACCCTGGTCACTCTGAGAGAGGTAACCAAGCAAACACGGTTAGCATGCTTGACTGTGGACTGCTTGCATGACACTTACTGTGATGTTCCCTGATGCAGGAGCTTGTCAATGAAAAATTAAAGACCCAGCAGATTAACAATGACCTGGAGAAGCTGACCCATGAGCTTGAGAAGATCGGCCTCAATAAAGAGGGGCTTCTGGGTGGTGAAGAGAGCTCTGATGACAGGTAATTCACACATGGAATGATCACTTTAGGGCTAGGACTGCAATGAATTTACATGAATACTGGAGTCACGATTGTCACCTGTATAACGCTGTGTTTCTTGTTTGTCAGGTTTAAGCTTCTAGAGTGTAAACTGGAGTCCACTCTGAAGTCCTCTCTGGAGATCAAAGCGGAGAAGATCGCTGCTCTAGAAGCCCGACTGCAGGAGTCCTCCAACCTCAACCAGCAGCTACGACAGGAGCTCAAAACGGTTGGGCGTCAGGCTTTGTTTGGCTGGTTGGCAGTGACTTCAGATTGTGTTCATTAAGCCTTGTTTTGTCCACCCACAGGTGAAGAAGAACTACGAGGCCCTGCGCCAGCGTCAGGAGGAGGAGTGTTCGGCTCAGAGCTCGCCTGCTCGAGGACGGGAGGACACACAGAGCAAGTGGGAGAAGCAGAGTCAGGAGGCCACGCGAGAGCTTCTGAAGGTCAAAGACCGACTCATAGAGGTGGAGAGAAACGTGAGTACCAGCTCAGCGGTATCAGAATGTCTTTATGTAAGCACAGCAGCTGATATTGCTGATGTTTGTCCAGAACGCCACTCTCCACGCAGAGAAGCAGGCTCTCCGGACGCAGCTGAAGCAGCTGGAGTCTCAGAGCGGGAATCTCCAGGCGCAGATATTAGCTCTTCAGAGACAGGCCGCGTCTCAACAGGAGAACAACACCACACTACAAACACAGAACGCCAAACTACAGGTCAGAGTCGCTCTGCTCACACAGGTATCCAGTCAAACGCTGTCCTATTTCTGAGAGAAAGGGTGTGATAGATGTTTCTCCTCATGAATGTAACAGGAGTTTGGTCGTGAAAGCTTTTCAGGCCCCTGAGAGAGAGCACAAAATGATCTTAAACTGATGTTATTCCTCTGCTGACGTCTGCCGTGTGCTCGTTTACCATGAGTGCACTTTGAGATAAACAAGTTTATGATGTGCTGGCAGGTAGAGAACTCAACACTGAACTCTCGGAGCACCGCTCTCATGTCCCAGAATGCTCAGCTGCAGACGCAGCAGTCCGGCACAGAGAGCGAGAGGGACGTGGCCATACGAGAGAAGGAGGAACTGCGCACGGTCTACGATCTGCTGCTGCACGACCACGAGAAGCTGTCTGCGGTGCACGAGAGACAAGCGTCGGAGTACGAGGATCTGATCGGCAAACACGGAGAGCTGAAGAGCGGCCACAAGAGCCTGGAGCTACAGCACCGCAGCCTGGAGAACAGGTGCAGACAGCACGACCCTCACCATTCATTCAGCAATCACATTTACATTCTTAAACAGTGGAGGACGTGTGTGTGTGTGTGTGTGCAGGTACAATCAGCTGCTGAAGCAGAAGACCGAGCTGGAGCAGCTGGAGAGAGATCTCACAGCAGAGCGAGAGAAGATGATCTCTGACAGCAAGAGTCATCAGGACACAGCTACACAGTACCAGAGGCTCAGAGAGGAGCACCACACGTGAGTGTCAGGATGAGCGAGCGTCTGTCTTGACTGAGGCCCATCTCTCATGAGCGTCTCTCCTGTGTGCAGGCTGAGCTCCACACACCAGCAGCTCCTGAAGGACAATGAGCTTCTGCAGACAGATCATAAGACTCTTAAGAGTCAGCTGAACATGGCCCGGCTGGAGCAGACGCGTCTGGAGGCCGAGTTCTCCAAACTCAAAGAACAGTACCAGCAGCTGGACATAACCTCCACCAAACTCACCAACCAGTGCGAGGTACACGCTACAGCATCTCACACAGCACCAATTCACTCCTCAACTGTAGTTTGTCCAGCGGGGGACACCGATAACGTCTGCAGAGATTGAAACTTGAGCTTCAGAATTTCTTTTTGTTTTTTTTATAAAAAATGATAATAATCAGAATCAGACTTAATTTATTCAATGCCCAACAGCCGTCACCCTCAGCAGGACAGTAGGGTGTATCTTTGTGAGAACACTTTACATGTTCACACGAGACCCAAATACACCGCACTATCCACATAAAAATTATACATGTGCTTTATTGCATATATCTAGCAACTACAGCATCTCACACAGCACCAATTCAGTCCTCAACTGTAGTTTGTCCAGCGGGGGACACCGATAACGTCTGCAGAGATTGAAACTTGAGCTTCATAATTTCTTTTTGTTTTTTTTATAAAAAATGATAATAATCAGAATCAGACTTGATTTATTCAATGCCCAACAGCCGTCACCCTCAGCAGGACAGTAGGGTGTATCTTTGTGAGAACACTTTACATGTTCACACGAGACCCAAATACACCGCACTATCCACATAAAAATTATACATGTGCTTTATTGCATATATCTAGCAGTAGTCGTCTTTCGTTTCACATTGTTTTTGCATGTTATTATGTGCTCTATTGTGTATGGCTCTACAACTCCCGATCTCACGTCAACATGTGAAGTTCTCATGTGCACATGTAAACTGGCGAGGTGAGTGGAGGGTAACTGTGTTTGTGTGAAATGTGTTCTGCAGTTGTTAAGTCAGCTGAAGGGGAACCTAGAGGAAGAGAACCGGCATTTGCTGGATCAGATCCAGACCCTCATGCTGCAGAACCGGACCCTGCTGGAGCAGACCATGGAGAGCAAAGACCTGTTCCACGTCGAGCAGAGACAATACATGTGTGACATCACCATATTTCTAATTCACACCTCTTATTTTACCCTCATTCTTGTTCATCTTCTCAAGCTATTTTCCTGTAATGAATGATGCACTACCATACTTCTCACTGTCTCTCTCACACACACAGTGACAAGCTCAATGAACTGAGGAGACAGAAAGAGAAACTCGAGGAGAAGATTATGGATCAGTATAAATTTTATGACCCATCACCTCCACGAAGGTAAGCACATCATCTCACGCAGATCACTGGTTGTGTTTGTAACACGGGTATGACAGCACAATGCACTGGAGAAATGCTTTCTGGGGTGAGAATGTATAAGACTAAAGCTCTGTCCAATGTCCGCCACTTGTTCGCTCATTCACTGTTCCCATTTGAGTGAATGAAGCCTGTTATTGTGCAGCATACACCAGTGTGATCCAGAGACAGGATAGCACAGAGCGGATCATTTGCACAAATCAACCGGTCTGCCCTTCAGAGCACAAACCGCATCCAAACTGTCTGAATTCTCCACAGAATGCTGTATGTAACAGTGATATATGGAGTTGGAGCCTTCACATTATAAACAGCATTGACAAAAAGAAGAGATAACCGCACACTTGTTTGCTGGAACCTATAAACATTTAGTTTGGTTTATATTTTGGGTAATTTGCCAGAGCCTGGGTTATGTATGTTCTCTTTAGGTCAACTCTCATGACATCTGTCTGTGGAGAGACCCCTTGAGTGGTCTGCAGCCAAAACCCCGGCTTCATCAAAGGACTGGGCTGACCAGCTTGCTGGAGGGGGAAGCATGGAGCTGAAGAAGCTAGCTCACGTCTTACCAGACGATGACTTGCTCTCTATTGCAGCTCCGGCCGATCCCCCTGATAAGGATGAAAGCAAGATACGCAGGCTGATTTCTTCCTTAACACAACACTAGACATCAAGCAGCGCTAAGACTAGACAATAAATGGCCGGGAGCTCTAGTTCAGGCTAATTACTCAAGGCTACAAGTGAAGTTTCTGCACTTCACTATACTTATAACATGCCAGACCTTCCTGGCTTTCCTGAACCGAATGAGGAATCTAAACTTTAGGCATTAAAGTGAACTTGGAAAGGGCTCATTTACCCTGACACTTGTCAGTAGTCTTTTCAATTCTGGGAAATGAAGACTACGCCCTGACAGAGATGCAGAAGGGCTGACTTAGATTTGCTTGGCTCATTAGACATCTAGCAATGTCCACTGTTCTTCTCGCTGAGGGAAAGAAACACCACTAGATCTGGATGCTTTGGGATATCTGTGCTCAGTGCTCTGCCATATGGTTCCTTCACTCTGAACATCAGATAGAGTCAGACAGCGTTGCTCCTTGCTCTGCTGCAGAGGTGATGCAGCTGTTATATGTCAGTCCATGGCATCTCACTTAGATCTGCTCTCTCAGGAGAACATATTGCACTCATGCCCTCACAGTTATAACTACTGGGTGTGGCCCTTAAAAGGTTCAGTCTAAGTGTTATTGCATTTCTCTAGAGTGTGAGTAATATTATTCAGATTACTAAAGTGGTTTCCGCTAGGTCCTTGAATAACTTTGGAAGTGGAATGTACAAGGATTTCAAATGTTGTGTATTTTGTGGGATTACTGCCCTCATATGTGACCCCATGACATCACAGGTGGTTCTTCATAACCCATTCATATTTAACCATTTAACTGATGCTTTTAAAGCAACTTGCAATTAGACTTGTGCCGGTATTCGGTAATGCGGTATATCACGGTAATGAATATGCACGATATTGTTATCGTGGGCACTTCTAAATACCGTGAATAATTATATATTACAAATTATTCAGAATTTTGAATGCATTTTAAGAATACTTTTCCCATCAACTGGTCAAAATGCACAACAGCGCTGTATGCTGCGTGAGAGACGCGCGCGCACTCTGATGTAAACAAGCACGGACGAGAAGCACATGGCGGAGCGCGCGAGAGACGCTCTGGAGGAATAATAAATGCAGCCGTTACCCCAGAAACCCTGTAAACACAGCAGCTGCACTACTTTCTGTTTCTGAATCGTGTTTAAATGATTTAAACAGCCGTTCAGATTTGTGTATTTGCTCTGATGTTCATCACAGCGCCAAATACTGACATATTTAGACTTAATAGGCTATTTATTTTCAAACTTTTTTTACATTTTAATCTGGACTACAACATGCTCTAGATATTGTCTGAAAGTGTTTTGATTCTTTATTGCTCGGTCACACTTTACATTAGGGCTTCATTAGTTAACATTAACGGCCAATGAAACATTCTTCTGAACATTCATTAATCTTAGGTAATTACAATATTTAATAACAGGTTGTTAAAATCGAGAGCTGCAGCGGTGTTATTTAATGAGCTAACATGAACTAAGACTTGTATTTTTTAAACAAAGATTAATAGCATTAGCAATTAACTGCAACATGAAAATTTGATGCCGGCATATCCCTACTGGCAACTTGCATTGCATTCAATCGTTCTCAGTTCATGGATTCCGTCAGAATTCAATTCAGCCGGTGACCTTGACATTGTTAGCACCGTGCTCTACTGTTTGGGCTACACTACAGGAATGCTAACCAGCTAGCAACCAGCTAGCTCCAGGGTACTTTCAAATGTTTAACATGCAGACTGGGCAATTACTGCCCTTAGTACTCAACTCTTTAATTTTGAAATGCTTTGAGAGGCAGGAAATGCAAACTGATAATATTTGCTGATGACATTGTAGTGGTAGACCTAATCATGAATATTGATGACCTAGAGGAGATGGAGAATCTGGCAGGGGAATGAAAAACACTTTTCTCTGCGTGTTAGCAAAATTAGTAACCTGATAGTGGAAGACTAGAGAGAAGGTACAATATCAAAATGTGTCTACCTGACCCCGATCAGTTTCTCACAGATAAATGCATGCTAAGCACAGGCCTTCAATAGGGTAACTGAGAATTGCACTCCCTGTAATATTTTCTGAGTTGTACTTTTAAATCACTAGTCTGCCTCACTAATCAATCTACGCTGTTTCCCAAAGGCATCATAAGCCAAAGTGCCTGGTAAAGACTGCTGGTGCCTATGGTTTTTACAGTCTACTTGGGCTCACAGCACTTTTGGGAAACAGCCCAGTCTGCTGCAGAACAGTCCTGGCACATCCTTTTACACAGTGTGGCTCAGTACATTTACCATCCCAAATACAGTCTACTTGGGCTCACAGCACTTTTGGGAAACACAGCCCAGTCTGCTGCAGAACAGTCCTGGCACATCCTTTTACACAGTGTGGCTCAGTACATTTACCATCCCAAATGTCAAAAGTTCAGGATGGTCTCGAGCAGCATCACTGCCTGGAAACGCACCTCTTAGGTCTGTAATGGCCTTCAGAGAGTGATGCTTTCATCTAAACTCATATACCCTCCCTGCGGCACATGGACTCCAGAAAGTGCAAGATAAGAGCCAGGATAAACGGTTGTTCTCAAACATTTCTATGGACTGCTAATGCTATTATGCAGATGCACTTTTATAAATTGATTTAGTACATTCAGTGACAACTCACTCACCTGTGAGAATTTCATCATTTATACAGCGAATGCACTGGTCCTCGTTCCTTATGTAGAAAGAATAAAATACTTGCACTGCATTGACTTCTTGAAGGTCCATCACTGAGCTGCATGCACCCTGAACGCCTCCTCAGATTCATGCTGAATTTCTCCAGGCTGGTCTTACTCCAAATTCAGCATTTCTGCCTAAGGTGATTAAACCGGGATTAGGTTGTTTGAGAGTAGAAATCCCTGTGTGTCATTTTTACTCTCTTCGGTTCTGCGGAGGAGAACAGATTGCACGATTTATTCCCACTGAGGCCATTGAGTGTGTGTTTAGATGGGACAGGCACAAAGCTTAAGGAACAGCTTTCTGTGTGTTTGCAACAGCTGTTTCATAGAGTAACACAGAAGCCTTCAACCCTGCTCCTCGAGGTTCACTGTCCTGCAGAGTTTAGCTCCAACCCTGATCAAACTCACCTGAACTAGACAGACAATCAAGGTCTTCAGGATCCATTGGAAAATACAGGCAGATATGTTGAAGCAGGTTGGAAATAAACGTTGCAGGTGAGTGGGTCTCCAGGAGCATGGATAAAGACCTCTGGAATGACAGATACCATTACGTTGGCTAATTCACTTAAAGGCCTATTTCTACCAGGAGGGCTGAGTCTTTATTCTACTAGAGAAATTCATGTATCTCTGTTGAGGACGTATGGGCAGCAGCAGACAGGGCTTCTCTCCACAAGCTTATGAGATTTGGCTGGATGTTACTAGGTTATCTCCTGTACATGTGATGTTGAAGGGAAATCTTGGAGAGATTCCAGGTGTCCTGAATACTGACTAGTTGTCAAGTGACTGAACAAGTGGACACTGTCTGTATCCCCGGGGAGTTTAGGTTATGACTAGACTACAACCCTGGTTCTCTGAATGTGATAGAGGACATTTTTATCTGCTCGGAAGCGCTGATTAGGAATGTGGACCTGTGTCCATGCAGTGGATCATAGGCTTCCCTAATGCAGTGGTTCCCAACCACGTTCCTGGAGCCCCCAACACTGCACATTTTGCTTGTCTCCTTAATCAAATATGCCTGATTCAGGTTATCGGCTCCAAACCCTGAAATGTATGTGGAAGACAAAGGAGACCTATAAAATGTGCAGTGTTGAGGGCTCCAGGACCAGACTGGCCATTAACCTAAAGATGTTATTGTGGACGAGCTCAGATGCCTCAGAGAACCACGGTCACAATACAGCCTGAAGTTCTTTCATAGAGTTTAAAACCTCAGATCTGCTCTGTCTGTGAGCATTTCATGTAATAATAAAACAGGACATAGATCACATGATAAGAGTTGCTGTTTCTGCAGGAGGGGCAACTGGATCACACTGAAGATGAGGAAGCTCATCAAGCCAAAGAGTCGTGAGCGCATGCGCTCTCTCACACAGACTCCTCCCCGCTCCGAGTCCAGCGAAGGCTTCCTGACGCTGCCGCAGCCAGACAGTCAGGACAGCTCGTCCGTCGGCTCCGGATCCAACTCACTGGAGGACAGTCTCACCCACCGCAGCGGCAGTAAGTATCAGCACACCTCCTGCTCCCCACAGTGTTCTGCATCTGTGGCGCGGGACTGACCTTCCTGCAGTGTGCACGTTTCAATGTAGCTTAGTCAGTCACTTCACTCCGGAATCACTCCGACAGGCTCATCAAGTGAGTCGACCGAATGACTTTCTTTGATTTCCACTGATTTCCTGAGTGAATCCAGCTCCGCTCAGAGGTGTGTGTCGGAGTCATGGTCTGGCTGCTCGTACACGTTGGTGGTGCATGCGGGTTTAAAATTGTTACTCTTGATCCCATACACCATCCTTTGTTTGCTTTTTTCAAAAGAATCATTTGTTTGTTAATCAATCATCATAACGACCGGTCAAAGCTGTATTTGTGAAGTCAGCGCAATGGAAAGTTGTGTTAAATGCCTGTTTACTGTCTATATGTGATTTTGTGCGCACCCAACAGAAAACATGGTGAGCTCACATCTCAGCTGGAGAATGATTTCAGAAAACACACTGATCGTGTATGATCGTGTAGTTCCGGCCTGACGCTTTCTCGTGTTTTCTTACTTTCTTTGCGAAGGGAAGAGAGTTGAGAAAAGCCAAGCGCAGGTTTCCTCTAACGGTATGCTGTCAGTCAGCCCATGAACACTCTGCATTTGTGTTCCTCTCTATTAAAGGGGACATCGAATGCAAAATTCACTTTTCAGAATCAGAATCAGAATCAGAAGAGCTTTATTACCAAGTATGTTTACACACACAAGAAATTTAACTTGACGACAGGAGCTTCCAGTGTAGAAGAAAGTACAAACATAGTGCAGACATACATAGGAATAACACAGTAGGGATGTAATATAACAGTACATGGTGTTTGCATATAAATGTGTCTTAGCAGCGTGTGGACACAACCACCCTACAATGATAAAAAAATCCATTCACTCCATTTTTTTAATTCCCAAAAAACCGAAACATTCTCAATTATCAAGCCGTTTTGATTTTCTGAGCAGTATGATGTCATATTGCACAAGCCCCGCCCACGATCACTGACGGACTGTCCAGTATGAACATAACTCCGCCCTCAGCCAGTTGTACACTGTCCACCATTTTCTCCACGCTCAAGCAGTTGTAGCGACAACAACGTCTCGTAAGCAATGCAGGTGTTTTGTGGTTGGATGTAAAAGTGAACATAAGGCCGGTTTCACACCGCAAGCGTGAACAGCACATATTTTTTCCGGTGTGCATGTTAACAAATGAGTGCATTCACAGCAGGAGCAGGAGCGTCGTGTGAGCAGCACTGAAGCGATGGTTTCGGCGCCGAGTCTATTTTTACTGTGGTGCTCACACAAACTTTCAAGACTTTGAACATGTAAAGTTTATAACTGACCAGCTTCTAAAAACAAATGTATAGTTGTCTTTGTAAAGAAATCTGTAGCTTTGGAGCCGCTGCTGTGATGCTTCCAGTGTGAATACTCTTGTGAGTCTGCAGCTGCACTGACGATGTAGTTACGCTGAAGTGAAGCTCAAGCTTGAGCTGTGAAACCGGCGTAAGAGTCTTCATTTTCTCCCGATATCAGAGCCACGCAGTGGTTTAGTTTTGTTTTTGATGGTAACCCGCCACAGAATACACAAAAAATGGAAGAGAGGGGCGGGGTGAGCAGTAGCTCATTATCATTTAAAGAGACATGCACCGAAACAGCTCTCTGTGAACAGAGCTGCTTTTGACAAGGTAAAAAGGGTGTTGTTTTACATGACCATTGAGGAATTTTAATTTTAAGTATGTTGCAGACATTCAATGAAGACCCTAAAGAATCTTACCAACTACTGGAAAATGGGCATCCGATGTCCCCTTTAAAAGGTGCAATGCAAAGAGTGTGTGACTGCAATTCAGCGCTCGTCTGCCATAGTTCTCCAGTGTCGTTCATTCATCTGTGTGTGACACCACAGGGAGAACATTCATTTGAGCTGCTCAGTGATGATCTGACTGTCTCCCACATTGCACTCTTCAATAACCATGTCCTGTTGTCCTGTTGGCATCAGATGGTGTGGTGTACGTTTCACTACATGTGTGTTCAGAGTGATCATGCATCAGTTTGACAGAAAGGTGCGCTGGTTGTCATGCTAACATGTTCTCTCCTCTTGCTCGTTGTGTTTCTTTGCCTTGCTGTGCTGTCCGGTGACAGCGCTGAAAAAGCTTTCATTCATGAGGAACAGATCCAAGGAGAAAGACGGAGTGAAGGCCGTCTACCGCCGCTCTATGTGTAAGACATCTGATCGTCCACATCCATCACACTCTTCTACACACTCTTACTGTCTGTCTCTCTTCTGCAGTGGTCGTCTAAGCACTCCCATCATTTATCAATATCAGTCACTTGACACATCTGCACTGTCCTCTTGCTCTTGTCACCGATACAGTGACTGTGACACAGTTAGATTTAATGTTCATCTATTCAGATGCATAAGCATAATTCAGATCTGTTACAAACGATTCTCAAGATTAAAGTACAAGGTTACAATCTCAGCTCTCAGACCAAATCAGATCTGTTTGGAGAGTTCAGTGCCCCACACCCTACAATGCTTTCATTAGGGTGAAATTAAAAAACAAACAACAAACATATAAAGTGTAGATATGTACTGTTATTTGCTTTTAAGACACTAGCAACCGTCCCACACAGTTCACAATTCTACAGCGCTGTCTGTTTAGCCCCGCCCACCGATTCTACATCACTGTCTGTTTAGCCCCGCCCACCAATTCTACATCACTGTCTTTAGACCCGCCCATAGCCCCGCCCACCAGTTCTACATCACTGTCTGTTTAGCCCCGCCCACCAGTTCTACATCGCTGCCTGTTTAGCCCCGCCCACCAGTTCTACATCGCTGCCTGTTTATATAAATGGCTGAGTAGGGATATGCCGGTATCAAATTCTCATGTTGCAGTTAATTGCTAATGCTTTTATCACGGTATATGGTATTATCACGATATAAAGCATCCTTGCTAAATGTATTAATTTCTATCATTCCACCCCCCCCAAAAAAAAAAATTTTTTTGGAATAGTGTATAATGTTACAAAAGATAAATGCTGATCTTTGGATTTTTCTATTGGATCTTTCTTACTGTTCAAAATGTTTTGGCTGGCAGTGTATGTATGTAGCCTGTGCATCACACTCATATCACATTGTTTTGGATAAGAATAAAACGTCAGGTCTGACAATATCGTCTCTTTTTTTCATTTAAATCTAGCTTTATTCGCATTGGCCCATGGAAACCTCTATGAACACACTTGACTTGACTTGGGAATTATCTTTTTATTAAAAAGTTTTCGTATTCTACACTCATGGCATGAACTAAAGTTCTGCATTCCCGCGGCACTGCGGGGCCGACCGGATTTTTTGCGCCGTGGGATTAAATTCCTGAATAAAACGCGGCAGCGGTCGGTAACTCTGGTGTAATCTGAACAGGAGCAGGCGGTCTAACAATATCCCGTTCCCGACGTCCATTCAGAACAGCATGTCTGTCCTTTATTCTTATTGACCACCGGTACAGACCGCACTCGGACTGTTGTGCACGCGCTGCACGCATGCTTTAAACGTCATTATTTGTGTGGTCTGTGCGCAGCATGTGCATAACGATGCTCAGAGCAGGCTGTACCGGTGGTGAATATACGGCCCTCAGACAGAACAGGCAGGCTGTCGGTGAGTGACGGAGCAGAATAAGGATGGAGCAAAGTGTGGATGCGCTGTAGGTGTGCTTGAAGGACGTTCAACCCGGTTTGGTTTATATTTTGCTTAGCCTATCATTTTAAATGACAGATGTGGTATTTATTTATTTTTCTCTGCGACACTTTTCCTACTGTTTAACAGAAAAATGTCAAACGAATTTAGTATTTTGACAAGACGAATAAAAATAGCTATTAGGCTATTTTTGTACAACCTACATTTTTATTTTTTTCTCTCTGCAACACTTTTTCCGTATTGTGTTGTCAATGTTAAACGGATTGTATCCTGACAAGACGAATAAAAATAAGAAATACAATTTTTGTACAACATTTTTATTTTCTCTGACACTTTTCTTCCAACTGTGTTAAACAAATGTTGTGTCTTAAGATAATTCATATAAATTCAAGACTCTCGACAAGACGAATAAAATAACATACAATTGTGTGCAGACTACACTTTTATTTGTTTTATTTCTCTCTCTTTCTTTCAGTAGCGGAAATTTAAATGTGAGATTCTGGAAATGAGATCTAAATTTAGCAGGAACGGTCAGGAAGAAATTTATTCTAAGCGGACAGCAGGTGAGCAAAGAGTGAATATATAGCGGGAGCGGGTGGGTGCGGAATATAACCTTGCGGGAGCGGGACTAAAAAATACAGTCCCGCGCAGACCTCTAGCTCTAGGTTAGATGCCTGCCTCCGTTGCGAGTCCCTATCAAGCACTTTACAGATCGAACTACTCTCCTCTCCTCCTCCTGCCTGCCTCTTTGGCCCGCATCACTCGCCGCAGCGCAAGCCTGTTCTTGATAACGCTGCTGAGAAGATGTGGGAAAAGCTGACGAGGAAGAAGTTGGAGTGAAGCGACCTTTATATAGGAGGAGCAAAATACTTCATCGCTCCGTCTATAGCGCATTGTGATTGGATGTTTACGCTGTCAATACAGGAGACAATCCAATGGGCCACTGGCTGCTCGCTGTCCCTGCGTGATGGTCCTCGGCAACAACATTCTGTCGGCCCCTTAAGTGCGACGGCCCACCGGGAAAATGCCCCGTATGCCCGATTACCAGTCCAGCCCTGGTTGCAGTGCCTGCTAGACGTCCATTGTTAGTGTATAAACTGTTCATGTGTCTGACGGATGAGTGTGTCTCCACAGACCTTACGCTGCTTTCATAGTATCATGAGCACTTGTGAGGTTGTGTTAATGTCTGTTGTGTTTCCACTGATCTCTTGCATTCAGCCTTGCTGTCTTTCTTCACATCTCTTTCTTTTCTCCTGTGTGTTCATTCATATTGAATGAAGCGGACTTTTAGCACGTTAATCCAGTGTGTGCGTGTGTCTGTCTCAGCCATGAACGACCTGCTGCAGACGATGGCTCTGTCTGAGGGTCAGTGGTCCAGCAGCACGGATCATCTCGAAGCTCCTGACGAGGCCATCGGCGCTCAGCACGGGAAGGAGTTTGGATCCATGGACTACACCAGCCTGACTCTGACCCTGACCCGCGGCCGCAGCGCTCGCCACCGCTCCGATACAGGTACATTCGCTGCAGGATACAGGGACATATGTGATCAAATAGAACTGCATTTTGTGTGGCTGAGCATGTGCTGCGGTCTGGTCTGTAGGCAATGCCGTGTCCAGTGATGACCTCACGTCGGAGGAGTGCAGTGTGCTGCGAGCTCAGGGTGAGTAAACTGCTCTCGCACACGTGGCTCTGGTCTCTGGCGCGAGCGTCTGTCCCGCTCCATCTGTTGGCCCGCTGGGATGTCATCTGCTGCTCTGACTGATCACGCTCCAGCTCTCAGAGCTTTCATGTTGCATCACTTAGATGGCTGTCTAGTTAACAGCGTGTACATTCTCTAAATAAATTCATTGCTTAGACTAAATATTGATTTCACTGTGATACTGCTCCAGACGGCGAGTAAAATGTGCACGACAAAACAAAAATGTACAATAATACTTTGTAATCTAGTCATTATTACAACAGTTGGGAACGTCCACGTGTTTCACAGATATCATTAGGTTATGCGCCAGTGTTTCCTGCACGCAACAACAACCCACGTGTGAGCCGTGATGTCTGATTCACAAGCACTTATGCACTCGTTCTCTTTAAGGAGTCAGTTTAGAAAATTCATAAAACAGCCTCAAACCTGCATTGAAGTTACAGTGAGAGTCAGTCAGTGAATCATTCAGAGCCGTTACTGACTCGCTGACTCGTTACTCATATGACAATGTGCACCTTAATATCAGACCTATATAATGAGTTTGGAAATGTAAGAGTAATGCTTAATAAATGTAAATGTAAACTAAAAAATGACTAAAACTAAATCAAAATTTGCTGTCAAAATTAACACTGCGTGCAATTCAAAATTACATAATTGTGTTGTGTAATGAAGGCCGTCTACACATTTTGGAACAATAATCAACATATTTAATTTGTTTTAGTTTTTTCAAACATGTGGGAGTATTCATACAAACAGAGTGATATTTAAATGTGACGAATGCAGTCAGGTGTGTGTGTCTCAGGTGTGATGAACGGCAGCGGGAGCAGCGGTGACGTCACTGTGCGTCTGGACAGCGCTCTGGAGGACAGACCTGCAGGACGTGAGGTGGTCTCCACAGAGCCAGCAGAGGTGATGCTCACGTCCATCACACATTAAACACACCTCTTAACACTGTACCCCGGGGTTAAGAACTGTCCACTCAGACAGGAGGACACCAACCGGTCCAGTGTGGTCTGTTTTTGTGTGCACTTAGAGATGAGCTCCTCTGAAATCAGTCGACCGCAGTAATAGAGCAGCTGTCTGACTGACTGTACGGCTGGTGAGCAGAAGTAAACCTAACCCATGAGTTCACAACCCGCAAACACTACCGATCAAAGGTGTGGGGCCGGAAAGATTTCAGAATCTCTTCTGCTCATCAAGGCTACATTTATTTGATCAAAAATACAGTAAAAGAGTGAAATATTATTACAATTTAAAACAGCTGTTTCCTATGAGAATATGTTGTAAAATGTCAAAGCTGTATTTTCAGCATCATTACTCCGGTCTTCAGTGTCACATGATCAGTATAATATGCTGATCTGATGCTCGAGAAACATTTCTGATTATTATCAGTGTTAAAAACAGTTGTGCTGCACAATATTTTTGTGGAAACCGTGATATACTTTATTTTTCAGGATTCACAGATGAATAGAAAGTTCAAAAGAACAGCGTTTATTTGAAATAGAAATCTTTTGTAACATTATAAATGTCTTTACTGTCACTTTAGATCAGTTTAATGCAGCCTTGATGAATAAAAGTATTGATTTCTTAGCGACCGCAGTCTTTTGAATGGTCACAAGCATCACTGTGACCACTGCACTACCATTCAAAAGATCGGGTCGCTAAGAAATCAGTACTGTTCAGTAGGGCTGGGACGATAAATCAATGCAGAATTGATTCGTGGATTGATTCTGAGATTTTCAGAACGCATGGCGATTCCTCTGGAATGGATTCTGAGCTTATATTTTAACAGCAGATGAAGAAGAGCCGAAGAGCGCTCGTGCGTTCGGTTGAGGCTGTAATTTCACCTCGGCTCAGAATGCTTTTATGACGCCAGATTAATGTAAACACAGCCCACTGTGAACACCCTTGTGATTCGCTTCAACCTTTCCGAATTTTATGAATGATTATTTTAGGTTCAAGTGTGTGTGGAAACAAGCAGAGTACGGCTGTTTCTAAAGCATCCAGCGCCATCTGCTGTTCACAACTAAGCTCTGAATCCACTCGAGAAAGACTCGCCAAGCATTTGGAAAATCTCCGAATCATGATGCATCGATTTATTTTCCCAGCCCTACTGTCCAGCGTGTCACAGACGTCTCGTTGACATGTTCCTGTCCTGGCAGCGATGCAGTAGTTGTGTTGGTGATAGTCAGATATAAACAGACACTTGTGTTCGTCTTCTCCTGCGCAGGACGTTCTCTCAGCACAGTCGTCTGGTGTGTCCGGAGCCGCACCGCAGGCGTCCAGAGAGCGAGTGAAGAGCCGTGGTATCTTACGCTCGGCCAGCGGTGCACGAGCCGGTCCACCGGGACGTCCCAGCCTGCGCCGGGCCGAGAGCAGCTGTGCCAAGGGCTCCGCGTCGTCTCTGTGTGTGCCGGAGCGTCTGGACTCGTCCTCAGGCCTGCCCCGTGCCAGCAGCGTCATCTCCACCGCCGAGGGCTCCGTCCGCCGCAGCAGCATCCACGAGCTACTCTCCAAGGACAGCCGGCAGCCCGTGCTGGTGGACCCCGCGCCCTCCAGTGAGTACGGCCCCGCTCCCCAGGCCCTGCACAAGTCCACTAGCATGCCCTGCCGCGTACAGGAGCCCGAGCTGCCCAGCCCGCAGGCCTTTCTAGGTCCCTCCTTCACCGTAGACTCCATCTTTCTGGACTCCATCTTTAGCGAGCCAGCGGTGACGGGTGGTGCTAGAAACCAGGCCATCCTGTCCCTCAACACGTCTCTCGTTAGTAGCATTAGCGGCCCTCCCCATAGAGCCCCTGCGAGCCAGCGCTCAGACGAGCGGCCCGCTGACTCTGAGCCCGAGGCCGGGGCCCTCTCGGAGGACGGCCAGTCGCTGTGGTACGAGTACGGCTGCGTGTGACTGCATGAGCGCTTCAGGGACTCTGCTGACCCCTGACCCCTGTCTGCATGAGTTTGCTCATCTGTGTCTGTCTCGTGTCTTTATGATTATCCTGTTGAACTGAACCTCCATCACTGTTGTATTAGCTCCACCTGCTGTCTGCTGTGTTTGTAACCGCTAGAGGCTGATCTATATTTATGACCGTGAGGCTTGTAGAACGAGTCCCATGATGCTGACAGTGTTATTTGTCTGGTGGTGTTTGTGTGCATGCGCTCAGGATTTCACGAGTGATGTGTGCCGCGCGCGTCACGCTCGAGGGGCTCTGTACAGCTCGAACGCTCGTGTATCTCCAGCTCATCTTGCTCTTCTGTAATGTCCTGCTCTGGTTCTGCAGATGTGGAAGTGTTACAGGACAGCAGGAAGTCTAAAAGCAGAAGAGGAGCTCAGAGTTGAATTCTCACGGTGAGTGTCAGGATTGTCCTCAGCCAGCGCTGAGCCTCCAGCCCAAAGAAGCAGAAACGCATTCATCACTAATCACAGTCACGATAATCAGCATCTTCCATTCAGTAACATCAGTCAGGAATACTCTCACACTGAATCTCTGAGTTCATGAAAGCAGAAACAACATAAAGACGGTGTTTTAGGTATTTGTTGAATGGCATCTTTTCACAAAGTACTATGACTGAAGGCCGGCAGTGTCACAGTGTCATGTTATTTTTTCCCAGCCATTTAAATTAAAAAGCTGTTTTTAAAGAAATTAACCCTTTTTTTAATCAAGGATGCATTAAACTGATCTAAAGTGACCGTAAAGACATTTATAATGTCTAAGCAGATTTCTATTTCAAATAAATGCTGTTCTTCTGAACTTTCTGCTCATCAGCATCTTCCATTCAGTAACATCAGTCAGGAATACTCTCACACTGAATCTCTGAGTTCATGAAAGCAGAAACAACATAAAGACGGTGTTTTAGGTATTTGTTGAATGGCATCTTTTCACAAAGTACTATGACTGAAGGCCGGCAGTGTCACAGTGTCATGTTATTTTTTCCCAGCCATTTAAATTAAAAAGCTGTTTTTAAAGAAATGAACCCTTTTTTTTTTATCAAGGATGCATTAAACTGATCTAAAGTGACAGTAAAGACATTTATAATGTCACAGCAGATTTCTATTTCAAATAAATGCTGTTCTTCTGAACTTTCTATTCATCTGTGAATCCTGAAAAATAAAATGCATCACAGTTTCCACAGAAATATTGTGCAGCACGACTGTGTTCAACATTGATAATAATCAGAAATGTCTCTTGAGCAGCAGATCAGCATATTATACTGATTTCGGAAGATCATGTGACACTGAAGACTGGAGGAATGATGCTGAAAATACAGCTGCGCATCACAGAAATACATTACAGTTTAACAGAGATTCACATAGAAAACAGCTGTTTTACATTCTAATAATATTTGACAGTTCTTATTGTATTTATTGTATTTTGATCCCATAAATACAGTCTTAGTGAACAGAAGAGACTTCTTTCAAAACTGTTTCAGAAGTCCGACGACCCCAGATGATTGAATGATAGTGTATATGTTTTAATGAACCAGTGACCAAATGAACCAAACAAACCATTCTGAAGTGCTTTTCTTTAACGTACACCATCAGAGTCAAATGAAGAGGAAAGCCTGGATGTTCAGGCTCATCAGAAATGATATTCTGAAGAAACATGAATCCTTTCAGACAGAGTAATGCCCGTCAGATGCGGTCAGCGCTGCATGTGTCAGAAACGACCCAGCAAGCAATAGTCAGTTTAAAAGATGTCTCTTAGCCGTCTAAACACAGCCCAGACGTCTAGGCTAAAACAAGGCTGAATTTGGGCTGTCAGTGAACATTCAATAGACGTCTAACCATAGCCCAAGAGTAGACTAGCCATTAATTAGACCGCTATTAAACGACTACATATATACATCTAATAGACAACAACATGACAATCCATCCAAACAAATTAAACATACAGCTTTTATTAAGAAAAATAACATTTTTAACAACTTAAGACTATACAAAATGATAAAAATACAAGATAAAATGTTATAAATACAATACACTTAAATATATGATTAAAAATCTGGAATTTTTAACAACTCAAGATAATAAAAATCAAAAAATTTATTTTAAATAATTTAAGATATTTAAAAGAAAAAAAATCTAATACAAATCAAGAGCATGTTATCACACTTAACATTAAAACATTACGGATAAATGACAACATAAAAAAAAGACGAACCCTTTTGTTGGTTTACTTTGAACAAAAAAGACACCCAACAGTGAACTTAAAGGAAATGATTAATTATTGGTTGTATTTCTTGTTTAAAATGCCTCCCAACTGCATTCCTCAAAAACAAAAGCGAGAAATATAGTGTATCAGCATTCAGTGTGTTAAGAAAAGAGAGAAGCTCTCTGGTAAATGTTGTGCGTTTTATACACACACCTCTGATGACCGAGAACAGTGCAGTCTTCTCAAATGCCTCTTTCTGCAGCGGACCACCCCCCTTCATGTTGAATTTGGACATGAGGGAATATTTTTAAAACCCTAAAATATAATACAGATTGAGGTGGTTAACAATAGGTTGTTTGCACATGACGTCACTGATGACGTGCGAAATGCAGCTGGAGCGCATTCATATAACGCTAATCACTAAACACCTGTCACTCACTTCAGTTTATCGCAATCTCACGATTCCGTGATATGAAGCTCTCAGAACTGCAAACAATATCTTATTTACATCGTGTCTATGTGTGGCGTTTAGCATTCAGTGGATTCTGACTGTGTCACCCTATATCTATTTATATATTCATATATTATTATATCTTATATTAATCATTTGCACACAAGAGCATTATCCGGCTCCGCTCCTCCCGACCGCAGACGCAGGTTCACAAGCCACTTTTTCCTGCGTTTTTCAGTCAAATTCTTGAATTTTTCTCCTTTATGAACAACACATTTTCATACACGATAAAAGCTCCTTGTGGTTTCTCGGTTTGGTCGATTTGAGCATCCATAAACAACGCAAAACACTTGGAGTTTCTTCTAGTGATTCCTACGGAGAAAAATCCCTTCCTGCCCTCCAGCTGCATTTCTCACGTCATCAGAACCACGTGATTGCAGACCACCTATTGCAGACAAAGTTTGACATTTCAAAATGACCAGTCAAGGAATAATTTTTTTAATTTCTGATTTGAGTTGTAAACATCACAATGTTTGATTAATGTGGGCAGATGTGTAGGCTTAACCTGTCCAGCATCCTTCTGGCACTGTCTTTGAGGTTTCTTCCTTCAACTCTGCACAGCTTTGACATCTGAATAACATGCCAATGTCAGGCGGGCAGTATTATATGCGTCCGTGTACACGTGTTTACCAACCTTAAACACTGATGCCCATTGACCTGCAAGTTTTCCATCACTAACCCTTTAAAACTCTTTATTCCAGCGGTTTAAGTTTTTCCCTGTTAGTGCCCCCCACAATCTGTCTCTGCCTCCAAAACTGTCTGGCTTTATAACAACACAGTGATAGCTGCTGGAACTAGAAAGTAGCCCAGTACACACATTAACCTCAAATGTACATGGAATAATAAATTCACCCCCTACCGTATTATTACATTGTTTTCTGTTTGAACTGTTGAGGTTTTAATGCTGCATTGCACAGCTGAGCTATCTGCACTTATTATTTGTATTCTTAAGCTTTACTATCAATTTGGAAGTTTCAAAATCAATCTTATTGTAATGTTACTTGTGCAATGACAAAGATATTCTGTTCAATTAGCTCATGCTCTCTCTGTATCTAACAAGCCATTGTTCAGTCATAAATTCAATATAATAATTCACATAAATGATGGACTTTGTCAAAGATGAGCGCTTTAGTGAGGACATGTTGTTTTGGAGAGGGTGTGTTTTTTACCATTGCTCCAGATCTTTTCCAGATGTTGAAACTCCTCAGGTTCTCCAGTTCTCATGAGTGTGTTCACTGTATAAATTAATATGGATTCATCTTTGTCAAAGCGGTGTTTGTTCTGCTGTTTGCTCTTCTTGCTCTGTTTTAAAATCTTTTGAGTTTGTAAACACATACAAATGATAAAACTTTTACTCTATTATATTTTGCAATGAATCCTCTGAACACATGCGTGCTGAACCGAGGGCTAGTCACGGGTCACTATCAACTACAAATGCAAGGTTATTTGGGCTAGAAGTGGGTTACACAGAGCCGGACTATATCGGGATTTGGGCCTATAGTTAACCGAGACGGTGAAATGACGGCTATGGCTTGCTGGGAGGGATGGAAACGATGCTTGCTCGCAAATGTTTTACGCGATATTCCAGTTTTGCGCACGAGTGAAAGTCACAGCTTTGGATGGAAACATAGCTACTAAATGAGCTGAGCTCAGCTAAACCTCACATCAGACACAACACAGGCTAAAGGAAACCCTAACCCTAACCCTTCTAATCAGACCAAAGACAGTCACACACTCCCAGTTTTTATTAGTATTTTTAAAAAGCATCGTTTTACACCATTCTAATCATGCGTACATGTTCAAGCGAGTTTCTGGAACATTTCGGCTTGATCTTCTACAGTGGAAGGAAATGGAGACGTGTTGTCCATCTGTCCTAAACACACTTCATGAGCACTTGGGGTCGTGTGGACGTACAGTGGCTGTAGGGTGTCACACGTGTGGTTTAGCCAGGGTTGCCGACTCTTACGCATTTGGCGTGAGATACAGCTTCCAGGCTCCGTCTCGCTCTCACGCTGCACTTGTACATCTCACGCCAAAGTAGCAACCCTGCTTGTGATATGAAACAAAGTCTCAGCTTTCAAATTTTGTACGTTTGAATACGACATTCAAACAATAAATACCGTTCTGGCGCACTTAAGAGACGTGACTGGTTGTAGCGCCTCAGTTAAAGCAGAGCACTGAACATCAGAGTTGCTGCACTGCTGCTCTGAGCTGGTCACGTGGCTCAGTAGCTCTCAGCAGCTCTAACAACGGGTTTAACAGGACAGACCACAGCTTCTCTGCAGCTACCTGTGGAAAACATTACAGCATGTTATGCATTGAGTATTACGTCCATGACATTTACAGGATCAGTTTATTCTGGAGAGGCAACACTGTGTATTTAACCCTCGGGTATTCCTTACAGTGTGACCATACACCTTAACTATTTATTCAGTTTGATAAATGTTCTATACTTTAGCTCAGTAATATTTATTTCATATTTTGAGGAGATCGTTTGGTACTAAATACTATTTGTGCAATAATTATGGTCCATAAATGACCACTTCAAATATTGTTTTCTAATATTTCTATTACTTATATTACAATTAGTGTAGTAGGCCTATTTTAGGTTAAAATAGAGAAATTGGTTTTAAATTCCAATGCAAAGAGGCAAATTCGAGTGATTTAGATCATTTGTTAGTAATGCCATGGTTTAGCCACTAGGTACCTGTAGTCTACTAGTCTAGTTTCTCCAGAGTATTGAAGGCATACCTGCTTGCTTATTTTTCACTTTTGCATTTGAATAAATATTTAGACATGATTAAACTCTATAGGTTTTTTAAATGTGAAATGTAAAAAGTTAATAAAGTACATCGTTTTTTTAATGATACTCGTATAAGTACACACAAGCGAATATGAATGAAAACAAGAAAATACTGCATTTAACCCAAGAAAAGTTTAAAATGGTGCTTTCAACTGCACTCAACAGAAGATTAGTATCCCCTTCTACAGTATTTACATGTGCATTGAATCGAGATTGAACCCCCCCCACCGCAAGCTGAACTTGAAAGTTGGCACCCGTTTGATCTTTCAGCAGGGGGCTGACGAGTGGCCCCTAATGTGCGCCGAGACTAGCTCCATGCTAGGCTTAGGCCCGACAGTGTGGAAGAGCGCGAGGGTTTAGGGCCTAAGGGATGAGCCCACTGACGGCTCTGAGATGGGCGGGGCTTTAGCTCTAACCCCACTGACCTGAGGCTCCTCCCCTTTGGTGTTCCCTGGGCTGCAGTGATCAACACAGGGTCTGTCCAAATACCCACACTTGTGCTCTTGGCCACTTGAGAGCATGTGCACGCAACAGGATAGAAGTGTGCAGGACCGTCCCCAGTGCCCTCAACACACACTAGATCCACACGCCAGCCGAAGCACATCTCATCACGCATCACGTGCTGGAAATAAATCAAGACATTTTGTTTTCCAGTGTAAGCTAAAGACTGATTAAACATTACATTTAATTTGGTAGTAAAACAAAGTGTTGCTCTTTTTTTTGGCGCAGAGATGAGTATATTATAAAACTGCTTTTAATCACTTAATTAGAAGCACCACCGTTAGTAACTGGCGCCACTGACTGGTACGGATGTGTGTACTGATATCAGGACTCAGACTTCACAGTGGGACAGCTGAGCTGTATTCTCTGATCCACGCACAGCTCAAAAATCACTGACTGTATTCTGTTTTCAATTCAATGATGTACTTTATTAGTTCAATGGTTTTTATTTCATATTTTGTATTTTTAGGGGATTTTATGGTACTAAACAACATTTATGCAGTAGCTACAATCCATTCATTACCTATTAACCACTTTTAGAGCACGGACGTGAAAATATCATTTCCAGCTGTGGCAAATCTTGAATGCTTTGGAGAACGGACTTAAGTTTGGTCTCTTTTTAAAGAAGACGCTTGGTGGATTATTGCTGTAGTGAAAAAAAGAAGTTTAAGTTCATTATGAAAAATGAACATAAATACTATTTTCAACATTTCAAAAAATGTATTTTCCAAAACATGTTTTACTCTAAAACTGTTAGAAAAATCAAAGCCATAAATCTAAAGTTGTGATCCAAACTTGAGGTTGATATCTCAAAAAAAAAGAGCTTTCAGTGAGCTTTCAGTATGTTTCCCGTGTGGTCATTTTGGACTGCGAACAGCACAAGTGTGACTATATTCAGGAGGATTTAACGAGATTTCAGTGGACATTTATGCAGTAGCTACAATCCATTCATTACCTATTAACCACTTTTAGAGCACGGAGGTGAAAATATCATTTCCAGCTGTGGCAAATCTTGAATGCTTTGGAGAACGGACTTAAGTTTGGTCTCTTTTTAAAGAAGACGCTTGGTGGATTATTGCTGTAGTGAAAAAAAGAAGTTTAAGTTCATTATGAAAAATGAACATAAATACTATTTTCAACATTTCAAAAAATGTATTTTCCAAAACATGTTTTACTCTAAAACTGTTAGAAAAATCAAAGCCATAAATCTAAAGTTGTGATCCAAACTTGAGGTTGATATCTCAAAAAAAAAGAGCTTTCAGTGAGCTTTCAGTATGTTTCCCGTGTGGTCATTTTGGACTGCGAACAGCACAAGTGTGACTATATTCAGGAGGATTTAACGAGATTTCAGTGTAGGCAGTTAAATGCAATAACCAGTGAACATGCAGGGGAGATGACCCATGAGCCTTTAACAGCCAGGGTGATGTGAAGTATAGCTATGTTCATGTTTTTAATGTTCTGGCAGCACAGAGGACCAGATCAGACCGCACTTAAACACAAATCAGCTACACTAATACGATGCCTTTAAATTGAACGAGTCATCACACGAAGATAGTAGTACTGTGATTATCACACAGAAATGAACATTAAATACTGTTCCATATATATATATATTTCCATTCAGAAAAGTTGTAGCAGAAAGAGTAGAAACAGAACTCTGATCAGTTCTCATCATGAAACTCACAGTAATGGAGAAAAGCCAATGTGTAAAGATGACATATTTTATTAAAATCCCACAAGAAATAGCACGAGTGGATAGTGGTGACACACACAGCAGTGTTTCCTGAGACTGATCTGTGTTTCTCCTCTAAGTGTTGTCATCTCTTGTTCTCCATCAGAGAGGAGCTTCGTCTGAAGAGCGGCACAATCCTGCAAGATCCTGCCATTTCTCTCTCTTCTGTTATCATGAACCCCTCAGCAATGAAAACAAGAGAAAAAATATGCCCTTTTCCTTGAATCAAGGCAGCAGAGGGACTCTTAGAGAAAGCTGATGAATCTGTGGAGCGTCTCTCGCCCTCAGCATCACAGATGCTCCACATCCCTGCATGTGTGCTGCTCATACACTCATACACTCCTGTGACCTGCAGAAGAGCCACCACCCCTGAAGACCTGAGGAGAAGCCCCAAACACCAAAACATGAAGACAGATCGTGTGTGTGTGTGTGTGTGTGTGAGAGAGAGAGAGAGTGTGTGTGTGTGTGTGTGTGTG